CTGGACTCTGATGACTGATGATTCCCAGGTATAAAATGGCCCTCCTTCTCGCTCCAAATCTCTTCTTCGCATTCTCCCCTCCTCTCCATACTCAGAACGGTCTCAAGCATCGATCTGACTGCTCATCAGCTCATCATACACTCTTTTGAATCATCTCTATCTCTATCATCTTCATCATTTACATCTTCATCACACTCTCTTTCGAAGCTTAGATGGCTACTGTATCCTTTCATTACTTTCTTCTTCCTTTCTGGTCATTCCTTATCTTCCTGCTTGATACTGCTTCTGATGTAACCTCATTCTCTTGTCTGCTTCCCTTCTGTCAACGATGTATCCCCACTCAGTGTTTTGCCTCCCCTTCTACACCGCATTCTGCCCCTCATGTAATCTCCACACTCTTTCTACTGCTTTCTTACGCTCGCCTCACACTCTCCATCATAACTTGTCAAGGAGGGGTAATATTCCTTGCTTTGGGGACCCTCTATCGCCTCACCTGATCACTTTCTTTTTTGGGGATGGGGGTTTAGTCTAACGAGCGGGGAACAACCCTAAGAAGCCGTCTGTTCCGATGGCACGACCTTCATTTGTTTCCGTTATACGTCACACCATCTCATTTGTGGTATTACTTCTGTTCTTCTTCATTATAACTCTCATTTGTGCTGTTTTTCTCTTTGGTGCCACGTGGGCCTGTCCAGTTGGCCTCACTCAAGTTTTGGGGCGGGATGAGATCGACTAGCAGCAACATCCGCCTCATCTCGCCCCCCGGGGAAATACCGGCTACGATGGGTTTGGCATAAGCCGGCTTCTCCGAATTCCCCGACCGTCGTGGGCATACATTCGGCTTCGGCATGCCGGGGGAGGCTCTCTTTGCCACGGCATCTCCAAGCTCATTAACGCCGAGATACCCACAGTAAGCATAAAAAAGCCCCTGGTTCCAGCCACTCAGGAAATCTAACCCCACTTGGTCAGGGCACACCATGGGGATACAATCACCTTTTGGGTCACCGGTCTTGCCTCGGATGAAGTCCGTCGAGCAACCTGCCACTCTGTCATTCTTATTGGAAACAAGACAGAATAGCGTTGAAAAAAAAAGCTCTTCTCGGCGACGATCCAGCCCTCGATCGGCTCACTGTGCCGGAAGATCGTACCTCGGCCATCCAACCACATCCCCTCGATTATTATGCATAAAGCGCCTTTTTGTGCTTATTCGACTTTGCATTTCTTGTCCTCTATGCTTATCCTCATGCCAATTTTCATTAATCTTTTCTTTGCCCCCCACCCAACGCGCCGACCGAGCGGTTTGCATCTCCGCAGCAGTTCTGACTCGCGTCCCCCTCTTCTCCAAAAGCTGCCTCGTTCGTGGCTCCCTTACGACTCCTAATTGCATTGTCTCTCGTAACAGAATCACGCCATGATGCCTCAACAACTCTGAGACGCCCTTGCACAACTCCGCGGGACATTTAGTCTCCATCGTTCACGTGCAGTCCACCCCCGATGATCTGTGGCCGCGTTAGTGATTTCTATGACATACTGAAATCAAGCCCCATGGAGAAGGCCTGCGCTGACGATTCTGATTACGGCAACTCGCCCGTCACAGTATATACGCTGCGAGACCAATTCTATACCCCATCTATCATTCGGTGGAGATGGCATATACGAGACTTCTCGACCTTGATTGGCTGGCCCAGTCTTCATCAACACCACTGACAGCTCTCACCTATACACAATCTATAATGTGCCAATCAGTGCATAATTATATAATCTCCAAAACGGTGTACGACATTTCGACGCTTTGCAACTGTGTCGCGAATGGTGACTACAATTTCAACCGTCGCTGCGTATATATATCAACACTATAAGCCCATCGAACACATCCGAAGGACCAGCGGGCAAGAAGAAGTGCACCACTGTATTGTATACAATATATATTCCCGACATTCTGAGCCTATCGACTCTTCGGGATACGCTATATATCGGAAGAAAACAGAGAAACTTTCGAGGCATCAGAAGGCTTCGTCGATCGGAACGAAAGCGACCTAGTGACAGATCCTCGTCACTTTAACAGATCAAGCACTGGCTCATCGGCTCCTTGGCCTACGACACATAGTGGAAGAACAACAGAGGAACTTCCGAAGCATCAGAAGGCTTCGTTGATCGGGACGAAAACGATCCTTTGAATCCGCGAAATTTCAATCGCGATGGGACGCTGGCTTGTCGATGCCGCGCTTGAAGGGCCACTGATGTACGCTTTCGACATTCTGCAGCCATACATTCTTTTTCCACTCACTGCTTCGAGCCGAACAACCAGTTCTTCGAAACGACAAACTCAAGTCATTCCTTCGCTTTATATACTGGCGCTACAATCACCACGACGTTTCATCTCGTCACTTCGATTAGCTAGCTTGCTCTAGCTTCAGCTCCAGAAGGGCTCGGAAGAAGGAGACATTGAGGGACATTGTCCGTTGGACGGTCGCTCCTCTTAGCGTTCGACTGCTCCCTCTATATAGCGACTGTGCAGGCACCAGTCAGCCTCTATATCTTTCCATCGCGGCTGGTCCTTGAACGATGGTATAGCCTCCAGAGTGGCAATCAAATAACTCTACGAGGCAGCTTTCTTTAGGAGCATCATTTCGATTCCCACATTGGAAGAGTTCGCTCGATGCAACCTATCAGTTGACGGGGCTCTCCTGAAACCGGAATCTCATTAAAGCGAAGAAAATTTTGAACTGCGACGATGGTCTCCTTATTTTTCCGTCGCTTCATTGCTCCGTGGCGCTCTCGCTTCGACGTCCACTGCTCCGTTGTCTCATCTCCTGAAGCCTAAAGCATTTCTTCGCTTCATTGCTTGGTCGCTTTATCGCTGCTTCACTTCGTCACTGTGCCGTTACATCGCTGCATCGATGACATCCTGGCCAGGTCCTGCACTTCAACGTCTGCAGCATGTGCAAACGCCCCACTGCTTCCAAGAACCACGACGAAAGACATCGGACTAGCAGTTCTAATATCTCATGTCTCTCACATCTTTCACTTCTCGAATATCGATGATCGAGGTTAAGCTTGCCAGAACGGCACCGAAGCGGAGGGCATGAACGCAGGCAATGGTGATGGCTCCTCATTGAAGATAGCATTGGCGATTCGAAGACCGAGAAGAAACACTTTGCCCTCATTCTGGACAAGACTGGGGTTTCATGAAGTACAACCAGCATTGAAGAAACACCGCAACCCGGTCGCTCGGACGCATGACTGGGCTGAACAGTCTTAGCGATGAGCTCAAACTTCAGTCTGCTCGCTGCATAGACCGTGGTCTGTCTTTCTGTCAGCCTGACATTGGCTGTCCGATCTCCAACATCATACCCAAGTGGATTGAGCTGGTGTACCTTGGTTCACGAACCATCACGAAAGGCACATCGGATTCAAGGTATTTTGCAGGCGCTATCACTGGGAAGCCTGACTTAATCATATATATAAAGGCTGGAGTCAATACCTTCGAACGCGACTACGACCAGTGAAAGACGTTAACTCTCGCAACAACGATGGCTCCGGCAAAGGCCCTTATAAACGACCACCGACCGTCTTCGAAAACTACGACGCAAGGCAATATATATACGCGATGGAAGCCAACCTCGTCAAGGATGCCTTGGCACATTGGAAGCCGCAGGACTGAACATTGGAAGTCCTAGGAATGAGAGGACAACTGAAGGAGTGAGAATGCTTGCGGCATTGGCTGCTGTCGCAAACGCTTCTCACCAAGACTCACAAGACTCGGAAACAAGACTCATTGGTGGTACCTCGTGGCCAACTCCCAAGCTACAGCCATCATCATACTTTCCTATATATACTCCAATGTACAAGATGCCTTGGCGAATGCGGGAAGCATCAACAAAGGAAAGAACATTGAACAGATGACTTTGTCTGCGACAAGTGTTTCGTCCAGACCGGCCAGCGTCGGCTGAACGCTCCTGGCATTTACCAAAAGCAACTGCATTGGCGCAGGTTCGCTAAATACGACGCAAGGCATCACTTTCTCCAAAAGTGTCGCCGCGATTGGGTTTGCCAATTACTATGGAAGGCATCGTTCTCGCCAATCTTACGACGATGGCCTTCCAGGTTGGTGATACACAATCGCCAGGACTTGCGCAGCAATGGAAAGTCTCCTAGAACTACCTGATTGTTCCGTTGCATTATGTCTTCCTCCAAAACTGACTGGTCGCTGCGAAAGCTCATCGGTCTGTTCATCTTTGCAAGTCCACAGAGTCAACGAGTCTGAGCTCATCTCATCGAGCTATGACTGAAGGCAGGGTTTGCCAATTACTACGGAACGCATCATCTTCCTTGAAGCAGCGCTGAAGACATCAAGGATGCAGCCAATGGGGATCACACAGCATAAATTGCTTGCGGGAATCGTTGGCTAATCCGTCGGTCGCATCGTGTCACCTTCGAATGGTAACTGGTCGCTGCGAAAGCTCATCGGTCTGTTCACCTTTGCAAATCCACAGAGCCAACAAGTTCGAACTTATGTATTCGAGCTTTGACTGAAGGCAGGATCTGCCAATTACTACGGAACGATTCATCTTTTCCCAGCATAACGAGGGAGGCATCAAAGACAAGGCCACTGGCAAATCGCACAGCATAAATTGTTTGCGGGAATTGCCCCCTGATTCTTCGGTCGCATCATGTCGGCTTTGGATGAGGGGATTCAGCCATCTGGCATCACACGGCATAAATTGCCTGGAGGACTTGTCACTTCATTGTTCCGTTACAACATGTTGGCTTCGGATGATGGACAATTCCGTCTTGACAGCATTCCTACGCTTGATTGACCTTACATCTGCCGACGAAACTTATATCTCTGCACTTGCTCTGACAGACATGTCTCCTTGCATTCTCATCTGCGTTCAGAAAGCAGCCTTACAATCAACGAACGGCACAGTCATCGCCTCATCCGCGATCCATTCGTTCATAAGGATGCCATCTTCGGTGAAGAATACCAGTCCAGAGTCATGGGAATCAGAACATCCACCGACCATCCTCGCGTGGATATTCCGCCCCAGAACATCAATATCCTCGACGGCAACGCACCCAATCTCGCGGCTGAGTGTTCGTCCTTTGAGTCGCGAATTGCTCGCTATGGCGGTATTGAGCTCTTCCTGGGTGGTGTGGGTCCAGACAGGCATATCACTTTCAACGAACCAAGCTCCTCTTTGAACAGTCATACTCGTGTTAAAACCCTGGCATATGACACAATCTTGGCTAACTCGCGGTTCTTTGGCAATGACTTGGACTTGGTGCCGCGGAGGTCACTTACTGTGGGTATTCAGACTATCATGGATGAGAGCAAGTCGGCAATCGCACAGCATAAATTGCCTGCGATGTCCCGTCGCAAGATGTTGGATGATGGGACACAGCCATCTGGAATCACACGGCATAAATTGCCTGCAATAATCATCGTCGCCTGACTGTTTCCGTCGCTTTGGATGATGGCTGGTAACTCAGAGGCTAGACTCACTCGACTTACAAACGCCTCTTACTGATCTGGTAACCCTACGCTCTTCATGCGGTCAAGGACGTTGGATTTGCTACCTTTGAAAAAGAAAAAATAAAGAAAGAAGGAAGGGAAGAGAAAAGAAAAGAAAACAAGAAAAAAGAAAAGGGAAAGGGAAAAAGGAAAGGAAAAAGGGAAAAAAAAAAACCCTTATATATAGAAGGCCTCCGAGCTCTGGTATGAACCATGACGGAGTGCGTCTCGATTACAATATTGTCCTTCAAAGGAAGCTTTTCGAAGAAAAGAGCCCATACGAGACATGCAAATTCGTGCACGAAGTCTACAAGGATATCGTCATTCTCACCGGCTACGACCAAAAGCCAAGCACCAAGCTACGTACAGCTGTGATTTTGGACTGCGTCACAAGCTCGCTTTACACAGCGACGTATGGTGCTCGTGGAAATCGCCTACCTTTCATCATCGCAGAAAATAAGCGAGAATACAAAATGGTGGTGGAATCACTCGGAGGCTTAGTGGGTGTCATTGCCACTCAAAAGCGCGATTGCGACTTCGTATATCGATGGTGACCTCGACTTAGTTGTCACTCTCACAGCCGTCTTGAGATCTCCAACATAATCTATATATAATCTGACCCAGTGTCTCAGCACACTGCTGCGTCGACTCTTATAAGACTACAACGATAATCTTCGGATCCAGCAGCGATGCGATATCTGATGGGGCCTATAATATCACGGTCGCAATCTACAGTTCCGATGCTTTAGTTTCACGCATTCTTCCTAAAGCTGTCCAACCTCTGCTACCGCATCCGAAACCTCAAGCTCACTTCGATCGAGCGACCCAGCTATGACTATTGCATCGCCGAATCTTTCAAGCATGGCATGGCTTCACAAAAACGCGTCACTGAGCCTTGCTACAGTTTCTGGTCGATTTTATAGCAGCTATGGTGCCTATTATAACTCATCGTAACACACAACGATGCCCAGTTGCTTTTTCCATGTGGTATCTGCCAATCGCGCCTCCTCGTTGGAAAGAAAGACGAAGAATATTATATACGGCTGCTTGAGCACCTAGGTGGACTCTGAACTTGACGATGCTCCGTTTAATACTCTCACTTTGGGCCTGGACGGGTATTTCGAAGATTCATCTTATATATGCGGCCTTCGAGCCTGCTTTCAACCTTGACTTTACTGAGGAGATGTTGGATCTTTCTGAAGGCGATATCTTGCTTCAGTCATCTGCTCAAATGGAAGAGATGTCGAAAATCGCGACATATAATCATCATCTAGATATTCCTTGGTCACGTCGCATGGTATCAGCCATATCAGAAGAAGAGTTAAACGAGCAAAGGTATATTCATCTTCGGCCCATCGAAATGGCGAAGGCAAGCTCATTAGCAATCACCATGAGCAAGGTTTACCCAAGCTCATAACAACCGTATTGCCGGGAGCGCATTTCTTAGTGTAGCAGGTGGCACAGTGGGTGATCTGTTTGCCCGTCATGAGCTAAGTACACCGATGATGCTCTACACAAGTTCTCCCTTCATCCGTCCTGAGGTGAGCCGTGATTGCCAATAGAACCGACAGCAAACGCCTTGGGTCAAATGCTCCATCTTGAATTGTTGGCACACGATCTGGATAACGAAGCGACATCTACTTCTTCAAATTCTCAAGTGTGTCTTTACGCAAGCGACCGTGATATCGCCTTTTCCAACCCATCGCTTGATTCTTCTTATCTTGCCGGGGACATACTTCTCCGATTGCTCTTTCTTTCGGCAACCATCTGCTAGAAGCCGGCGTCGAATTCTCTTGAGCTAAATGGCCGAAGGCGATGCATCCAATGGGTCGGTTGCGACTATCACTGTCGCGGTATAATCTCCAATGGGTCGGTTGCGACTATCACTGTCGCGGTATAATCTCCAATGGGTCGGTTGCGACGATACTCTTTGCAAAAGAGGAAGCAGCCAAGATATACTGCAGTTGGTTGGATTCTCGGGCGATGATAAGAGGCAGCACTCTGTCGCGAATGCACTTTGGGTTCTTGACAACCTCGTCAACAGCCGAACTCTAATTTCATCTACATCACATTCCGGCTCTGGTCTCGGTGCATGCCAAAGCTTGGTGAAGATCAACGATCGAGACGGCGACGTTATCGCTCTCAATCCTTCGACGCAGGCTCTCATTTGGAAGAAATTACTTCACGAAAATACCTAAATTGCCTGCTTGAACGTTGGGATCACAAACGAGGGTGACATCGATCACGGCTTCATGTCTTCGTCCTCTGATCACTCTCAATAATTACTAGCCCTTCGACACTGGCTACTAATCTCATTCTGCACGAATACATACCTGTGTTCTTGTACCTTTTTCATCTAAGGAACATTTCAAGATCTTCTATTCTTTAGAGGTAGATCTAGCCGATCAAGCGTTCACTTGATCCCAAACACACAGGAGAACTAAGCCCAAAGCAACAACCATATCTACGAAAACGCCTAACGCATTCGGCTTTCCAAAGAACCGAAGAGGATTTGAAGCACCCAATTTCCCGTGCCATGGCCCATACGCATCACGAATGACTTTGTAAAGCTGGCTGATGCGAAAGCGCTTACCTTTCCACCACAATAGACTTTCGCAAATACAATTGCTTTTCGATGCTGCAATCAGCAATGGCTGTGGTTGCATACGAAACCCAGTAGGGCGATTCCTCTATCACGCTGGGAGATATCGTCGAAGTTGGGACCACTCATCCGGATCATAAAACCCATGCCGTTACATCTTTATAACTCATAGCTCATTTCTCAAACGAGTCAATTCTTTTGCTAAGACTCAAGAACACAGGAACGCTTATCTTAGGCTTCAGAAAGCTAGTCGATGTTATAGTACACTTACGAGTGGAAAGCGCTCCTCGATTACCGTTTCACTGCGCGGTTTTAAAAAGCCAATACAACGAACTTGCTTCACAAACCAATCCAGCTCAGACGCACAAGTTAAAGCCATTGTATCGCCTTCTTTATGGCTTGGGCTATCGATCTATCGAAGAGTGAGGGCGCTAGGATTTTAGTGACCCAATCTCGACTTCAGTATGATATTCTATTCAGCTATCAATCTTTCTGAAGCGAATGGGTCGCTCAGAATGACTATATCCACTGGAGAATTAAGCGAGCATTTCGCCCATGGAAAAAAAATGACCATGGGTATCTCAGATATCTCGTGTCGGAGATGATGACGACAATCGGTCGAAATTTCACTATACTCCTCACTTCAAGAACGAATGTGGAACAAGATCAAGGCCATCATTAATGTCGTTCTCTGGCTTATGTACGCAAAGCATGGTAGCATGCTACGGCCTATGGCCTACGTTTATATAGAGTGGCTCATTTTGAAGCCAACTTAACGCCTGGTGGCAGATTTATCGCCAGAAGGGATCAGACGAGACGGTATCCAGCACCTTCTCAGGCTGGGTGTCTGTGGAAGCGGTCATATCCTCCGTAAGTTATCTGTTGCTCAGCTGGATGCTATCTATGAGGTGTACTAACCTACCTATTTCCAGAGTCTCGATCGACCGACCGAAGAATCTCCATGGATCGCTTCTTCATCTTCGGATATTATACACAGTCTTCGCTCCTCGTTCTGATTTGATAATTGCGAAGTTTGAAGATCGACTTCAGCTACGATCTTCCGAAACTGCTTGCAGAGTTCCACCAATGCTGCTTGCACCATGCGTGGGAGCCGACAGTAACTCACCGGAGAAGTTTGACCGACTATATATCTCTATCTTGTCCAGTGCAGCGACGACTGGGCTCATTCTCGATAAGATCTTGCACAAATCTGACGACGAGGCACCTCGCTTCTATCTCTACTCTTCCATGTAAGGGCGGGTGTCTTCTACCATCGTCAAGAACTGGAGCATCCACTCAACAATTTGACAACCTACAGCAACTGTAAATGCTGCTTAAACACATGAAGATCCTTCATGCTAAATTTGCCATTTTGACTGGGAATATTGCAAGGCAGCAACGCGAGCAAGAATGGCCCTGCCGTTTGCTTTTCCGTCACAACTTGAACAAATGGCGGCTTGCACAACATTATACCAACACTGAAAGCGCTGTTCTATCCCTATCGAAAACTTGTTGTGGAACAAGCGAGCAAATTCGAAAAAGCTCATGCTGCATCTTTGACGGACAGCAGCATGATATACAGTCATTTGCATGACGGCCTTCTCTTCGTGCCAATTATACCTCGCGTCCGCATGCTCATACTCAATCCTTTCTAGGTCTGGTGGATGCCAAATCCAAGGAGAAATGTGGCTGAAAATTATCGAAGTTCGAAGACGGTTGCATTGAATTAGCAATGGAAAGCTCAGCGGTCTGCTACAACTAAGACGAGATCACTTTTGAATGAGTGAGCTTTTCTCATATCGACCAAGACACGTGGATGATCCTGTCAAGAACCTCAACTGTCCGTCTACAAACAGAAAGAACGTATCTAGCCTACAGCCGATACGATGGTGCAGCGTAGCTCCTCCCGAAAAAAAACAGGATTGCCTTTCGATCTAATCACAGCATCGAGGCTATCAATAAGCTAGCGTTATTCCACTTACATTCTTCAGTGATCTTCGAGTCTAGTAAGTGGTAGAGTGTGGAGGAAAAGAAATGGAAGGTCGTTGGCATACTTAGCGAACCCACTTCCACCGAGACTACAAAGAGCCACGTCAAGCTCTGTCGCACACTATGGAACAATCGACCACAAGTTCCGAAGTTCCGGAGACCAAGCTCGACGAACAAGTTCTCTTGCCCAAAGAAACAAACTATATATTCCAAGAAGGATTTGAATCAGTGCCTTTCACCCCTGAGTTCAGCAAAGCTCTATATAAACATGCCACCTCACATCGGCAGATACTGGCTGAGAACAGGGCCTAAATGGTGCCACTCTTTGGCTTACGCGAAGCAAGACGTCA